GTTTCTGTCTTCACCACTGCCTTCTTTCAACTTCAAAGGCACACTGGTCTTTAGACATTTTCTGTCGATAACGCCGGTGTTTTTCGGCATCGGAGCGATGTGTTTCCAGTAGCTAGTCTTCAGATACATTCTGTTGCAGGCGCTGCCTTCTTTTAAAATCAGATGCATGTTGCTCTGCAGACATTTTCTGTCGATAACGCCAGCACCTTTCGGCTGTAGAGCTATGTTGTATCAACAGTTGTTCTTTAGACATAGTCCCACCTCTCTACTGTCACGGTCTGAGATGCAGGTGAATGAGAGTCCTGGCTGTCAGGCCGCTGAGAGCTGTCTGACCAAAGGCTGATTCTGGCTGATTCTGTGGGTGGGGCCTCCTCCTCCCTGCTGTCAGTTTCCACAGCTGTGATGAGGAAGCTGGGGTGACAGAGGGAGCTGTGCCCTCCAAGCCGCCCTCCCTCTCCCTCTGCTCTATTTCCAGTGGTGTCAGCGCTAGAAAGCGCCCGATGGAGCACGGGCCGGGCCCGCGAGGCTGTGCAGGCTCAGGGCCCGTGGGCAGGTCCCTCCTGACTGCGCTTTCTCCTCCGCTCTGAGCTGACGCCGATCTCCCTCTCTCTGCAGGTGCACCTTCCGCTTCCCCAGCACAGTCATCAAGATCCAGTTCACGGCGCTCTACCACCAGGAGGAGGCCCCCGCCTCGCCGCTGCGGCCGCTCTACCCCCAGATCTCCCCTCTGAGGATCCACATTCCGGAGCCGGACCTCCGGAGCCTGGTCAGCCCCATCCCCTCCCCGACCGGCACCATCAGGTGAGCGCTCAGCCCCGGGAGCTCCCGGCTCCTCTGCGGGCCGGGCCTGGGCGCCAGGGGTGCTGGAGAGGACACTGGATGGACGGGTGGGGCCTGCGTGTGCGCTGCGCAGCCAGAGACGCCCTGGTGGCATTTTGAAGCTGGAGGAGCATCTGGGGACCTGGCTCCTGGCAGAGGTCCCTGGAGAATTCTCTCACAAAGCGCAAGTCCCGCCCCGCGCGTCACGCTGCCGGTCTGAAATGTGAGGGCCTTTGACAGCAGCACAGGCTTCTGTGGGACGTGGGAGCGTGTTAACCGCGTGTGTAAGTCTCCGTCTGTCTCCGATGTGACAGCCTCAGGGCGGTTCCCGAGGGAAGCCTGCCACCAGAGGTCGGCGTGCAGGCCGGCGGCCGAGCTGTCTGCGGTCAGCACCGGCACCTGCCCGCCCTGGTCCTCCCGTCCCCGCGGCATGAAATGTCTGTGGGTCAGGCTGAATGCATTTTCAGATCATCTCCTGCTTCGCTGAGGACGTTTTAAAATGACATGGCTCTCCTGCCTTCACTGTGTGTGTGTGTGTGTGTGTGTCTGTGTGTCTGTGTGCGTGTCTGTGTGTGTGTGTGGCCCTGAAGCCCCGATGCGCGCACTTGGCGATTCGCCTCCCCGGCCCCAGGCGTCTCCGCAGGGCTGTGCGTCCGGGCGCAGTGTCAGCCCCGGGGAGGCACACGGGCTCTGCCAGGGCCTCGGACCACAGGCACCGCTAGCGGCTGGTCTGCCTCCCTGTGCACCAGGCTCACCGCGAACCGGTGGCTGTTTCCTCCCTGGGCCGGCTCCGCTTGGGAACCACACGCGGGTTCATCGCTGTGATGATCCCGTGTCGCTGGCGCCTTTGTTTTCCACCGAGACGTGTTGGTCACACGTTGGGATTCGCTCGCACTGAGCTGCGGGAGGCGGTTCCCCCAGAGCCCGTGATAGGTGTGTCCTGCTCCTGCAGAGAGAGTTCGGGGGCAGCTGCAAATGGCCCCGCTCAAGTCCGGGGCCTGGCCGGGGACAGGCGGCCGGGCCTGTGTCTGTCCTCAGTGGCGTCCGCGCTGCGCTGCTCCGCGTGGCCGGCACTCACCAAAGCCTCTGCTCAAGCTCGTTTTACTCGTCCCGCGGGCTCTGCTCTGACTTAGCTGCCTCCCGTGTGTCCGCACTTCGAACCCGAGTTTCCAGGGAGGCCCCACCTGAGCCCAGGCTTCGATTGTGCTGTGAAGTGCTCCTGCCTTTCCACGCGTGTGACGAGCACACGGGGAGAACGTAGTGTAGCACAGCGAGCAGCCTCTGTGGAAAAAGCCTGCAGTTCCTCACAGTCCCACAGTGTTCCATCCGACCCAGCCATGCACTGGGCCCAAGGTCGCATAGAAGCGCGCACGCCGGGCTCGGCAGTGAGGTTCGTGCAGCCCCAAAGCAGAGACAGCTCAGGCCCACCAGCCGATGAGTGGACTCATGGGAGGTGGCTGCCCTTCCGTGGACGCGGTTCGGGCTGAAGGCATGTTCAGTGTGGTGCCTCGACAGCAGTGTGCCATGTGCAGGGCCAGCTGGTGGGAAGCCAGCAGAGCAGGCAGATGTGCAGGGACAGGAAGTCGGGGAGCGGCTGCGGCTGGGTGGTGGCAGGGCCTTTCTTCCCGGCGTGAGGAAAGGTCTGGAATGAGACGCTGTGGTGGTTACACAACTCGCAGATGCACGGACACGGCCTGTGCACTCGGAATGTGTGAGGCTGTGCGTCGCCCTGAGGCTGACCCTTAACCCAGCAGCACCAGAGCTGCGAGGGCCCATGACGGCCTGGTGTGCTCCACGCGGCCAGGGAGACCGCAGCAGGCAGCCCCACCTTCACCCCCAGCCTCACTCCAACCCCAGCCTCACCCACACCCCCAGCCTCACCCTCACCCCCAGCCTCACTCCAACCCCAGCCTCTCCCTCACCCGCAGCCTCACCCTGACCCCTAGCCTCTCCCTCACCCCTAGCCTCACCCTGGACCGCATTAACAACTAGAGGCCCAGTGCATGAAATTTGTGCACTATAGGGTCCCTAGGCCTGGCCAGCGATCAGGGCCAATAGGGGCCTTCCTTCTGGCTGCCGCCTGGGGCCTCCCTTCCCCAGCTGCTGGCTGCTGGCCAGGGCTTCCCTTCCCCGGCTGCTGGCTGCCGGCTGGGGCCTCCTTCATTCCGCGCCGGCCCCTGGTGGTCAGTGCACATCATAGCGAGTGATCGGTCTCCCGGTCGAACTCCTGCGGGGACAGTTTGCACAATAGGCTTTTATATATATAGATGAGTTTATAATCGGCCAAGTGTTTGGGTTTGTACTTGGAGAGCTTCGTAAAGTACATGTATCTCCGAGTCATGTTCCGAATAAAAGTGGGCCGCCTGGTGAGGAGACGGGGAGCTGGTAGGAGCTGTTGGGAGGAGGCTGAGGGCGTCCGGGGGGAGGAGGCCCTTTCACTTTGCAGTGCCTCTGGAACTGCTGCTCTGAGAGTCCCGGCAGCGCTCTGTTTATATTTAACTTGTTTTAGGGGCAGGAGTCAGTCAGGGGCTGCCTCGTCTGTCTCCGTCCTGCTGGTCCCACTCTGTCCTTCTATCTGCGGCCGCCTACAGGGGCCCGGCTTCCTGTTTTCATTTGGTAAAACGTGAGCAGGGAGAGCAGGAACTGGAACAGGGTTTGTGTTGACACCGTTTCTCTGGCTCTGGAATTCAGCTGAGCCTTCAGAGACCCCAGAGGCCTTGCCAGCCTTAGCTCCCAGGAGCCTCTCTGCAGGGAGGCGCCCAGTGTTTGCCAACAGCCTGGCCCGCCCTCCCCTCCGGAGTCCTCCCCTGGAAACCAGACGGCTCCGCCTCTCTCCGGAGGAAGTGCCCCGGGGGAGCGCCTGGCAGCCCAGCCCAGCCCTTTCTGAGAAGGCAGCCTGGCCCAGGGCCCCTCTCCTCCTCTATTTGTCTCCTAATTTGGTGAGGCTGCCACCCGCTTGCCCCATTGGCTGCTGGGTCCCTGCAGTTTGGAGACCCGCTGTTCAGTTTGGGTTGGTTTTCTCCACACCTTGTCCCCAGCCCCTGCTGCTCCAAGATTTGGGGAGTGGCTGTACCTGTGGGGACGCTCTCCCTGGTAAACAGCCGGCCCTGCCCCCCCCCGGCCCTGCCCCCTGCCCCCTGGCCCTGGCCCTGCCCTCCAGCCCTGCCCCCTGGCCCTGGCCCTGCCCTCGGCCCTGCGTCTTCCGCCTGTTTCCAGTGTTTTGCTTCCCAGCTGCCAGGCCCTGGTGTGCTGTGCGGTCGGGTGGTTTCTTCACCCTGAAGCACTCCACCCAGAAATGAGTGAACACTTGCTCAAGTGAATGTTGCTATCGAGGCAGCGTTGCCTTTTTTCCGTGTTAAAGCAGCGGTATTTATAGAAAAGAAGAAATGGGTCATCGTTTGCTGGGTGTGGCAGAAGCACGCCGTCTGGAAAGTGCTCCTGTGAGCGAGCTTTAGAAACGGCTGCACTGACCCCAAGAAAGCACACACAGCGAGCGCCTCCGCGTCACTCAGAGCCGGGCTCTCACAAGCTGTTTCTTCACGAAAGCTTCTCTTGACTGTTCTATTGTAAACGTCAAAAGCGGAAGTAATCTGTTTACTGAAACTTGGCAAAGGTTACAGAACATGAAGTAAAACAAAAAGCAACTGGCACCAAAGCCTAAAGCCCTCACAGCGCCCTCTGCGCGCAGTCCCA